TTGGGGGAGGAGTTAGAGAAAGAACATTTTAAAATAAAGCATTGTGATTTAATATTATTATTAAATATAAATTTACAGAATCTTGAAATGGTCGAATTATAACATAGGTTCCATGCAGTCGTTAAAATTTCGAGTCAGCCTGAACATGGAGAGAGCAACAATCATGTCATACAAGTCTAAAAATTTGGTAGAGATTGGACTTGGTCTTATTTTAACCTCTGCATTGTATACATGTGAGACACGTTTTGTGAATGTATTATGTAAAATAAGAGGTGGTTTTAGGAGGCAATTAACAGCCTTGCTATCATCAGTAGAGAGATGATGCACCACTACAAGGTATGGAGTGAATGAACAATGACAATAGTGTAAAACTTATACTGCAGTACATATACATAAATGTAAGACATTATTAGACATACCATTTGGCCTGGGGTTATATGTGCATCATTATATAAGGTCAGTAACATGACTGATGCAATCCCTCCCAAACATATAAATCCAGCTTGTGGAAAATGTCAAAGATACAGTATGGTGCAACAAAGAGTCACCTGAGCATGGATCTCCATGTGAGCCTCTTCTCGCTGCACAGTCTAACTGGCCCAGGGTCATGTGAGCTCTGATACTACAGTGGTTTGATCTGACATGCTTCTCTCATTAGAACAGGTCACGCACTCAGCTTTGAGCAGTTTTCATCATCATGGGTCTGAAATGTTATGTTCACAGATACATTTTCCATTATGCAAAATGAGGACTGGTGTAAAAGAGCATAAAGTAACATGGATTTTAAAGATGTACTAATGGTTTTGTCATGTAAAAAACTGTCAAAAGGGCAGTGTAATAGCTAGCAGCCATTTTGCTAAAATAAATAACAGAAGTGTCATTTGGATATAATGTAATGTTTGTACTGTATATGGTTGAGCAATGTTAAATAGAAAACATATAGGTTTGCCCAGTTTATATCCAGCAGCAAAGACAGCAATACAAAGATTTTAAAATGATAGAAGGACTGTGTCTGAAAAATGTTAAATTACTGAAATAGTGTTATCTTCTTTTTACACACTTTAAAATAGTCAGGAGGGCTTTAAAAGTATCTTCCCTGCTTCAGTAGCGTAGCAAGTCCAACAGAGATCAATGTTGGTATTCCCCTAACTCATAAACACTTCAGATCAAGGGCCAATTGCACCTCTTGTTTCTTTCCACTGAGAAAATCTATTGCCCAATTTATCACGTCTGATTGGTTAACACTTGGACTCTCAAAATGGAGCTCTTTATAATTTAGAAGCTCCTCTAAATGCAGTCGTCCGGGGTTACATCTAAATGTTTAAAAGTCAAGTGAAGGAAGGAGGTGCTCGGACTAGAAGTTATGTCCTCCAAGGGAACTTTACAAAGATCCTCTCTCAGATTTATAGCCACTTACCTTGGAGCCCAAGTCGATATTCATAAACACTATACCTCAAACAAAAGCCCCATCCACTATCCCCTGCTTGTAAATAAATACAGATATGCCTCTTTTACAGACAGCAGCAATCTAAAATATTACCACCAGCATCATTTTAACACACACATTAATATTTTACGGCACATTGTATTTTACCACATTGCATCTTAAACTTTCATAGTCGGCCCAGAGGAGTTTTTTTCTCCTTTGAAATCTGTATCATTATTAGACAAGATGCATGACAGATACAGTAGACAGTTTTATCTACCATATTTAATAGATAATATTTTAACAATCAATTGTGCCAAAAGCTTGTCCTGTCTTATTCACTCATGTGTACCCAGGCTAGGTGAAGAAATAAGGCAGAATCTCAAAGACCTAGAATCAAATATCCAATTCTGTATGTGATTTTACATTTTAACTAGCTGCATTTTCACTGCTCTGAAAAAGGCAGTAAGCATTTCTGCCTCTCATTAAAAGTGCACTACATAACCTTTCTGGCTGGGGGTGTCACCTGCTTGTTTCCATCGAGATGTTATTGCATTTACTGGAATGTTTCACAGTATGGCATTAAACATATTTATCTTGCAAATATTTAATTATTTGTGTTTATGATGCTAAAATGATGTCTTGGGTTGCTTCTCCACAGGTCTGACCTTGTGCCCTGGCCTGGCAGTATCACTTTTTTGACTTTATAGAGATAGATATCTTTAAATGGTGGTAAAGTTACATATTGCACCTTTAAGGGCCATGTTGGACAACAGCTCGTTTCCACTGTCCAAAGACATAGACTGGTACATCCAACAGTGAATAGTTTTCTGTCAGTGACATGTCTGCGTGTTGCAATGAACAAGTGCTTTGGTCATTGTCCAGGATCCACCACAGGCTAGAGATTTTATGCTGAAGACTTCAACAATTTGAATTTGAATTGTAATATGTCTGTAAGAGGCATTTGGATGTACATAAAACTAATAGTCTTCTCATTTGACTTTATATTTGTGTCAGTTCAGTTAGTAAATATGTGTTTAACCTTTTTTATAGTGTTTAGCTAATTATAATAGCAGTAAACTCCAACATCTGTATATTTCTTCACATCTGCTCCAGTGTAATATAGCATGTGATTTAAGTGCAAGGGTGTCAAAACAAGACTCACAAGCTGGTGCAATAATTATAAGCAAATTTAGTGTAGATAATTGAGACTGTATCTATTATCCCTGATGTTGCACTGTCAGTAATTAAGAGCTATTTTTAAATGCACTAATGTGGAATGCGGGCACAGGGAGTCACAAGCCAATGTACCTTTTTGCCACTCCAAAATCAGTAACTGCACCAACATTGAAATAGTCTAAAAAACATGCCCTCATAGGAGCTTAGTATGTTTTATTTATTTTATTGGGAAAATTTTAACAAAGAAGTTAATTTGGTCCCGAGGTGAAATTTAAAGGAAACAAGAATAACATGCCATATTCAAACAAAGTTATGAAAAAATTATTATTACTGTTTGTGCAGTCTTTTGTGTGAGTTTTTTATAGTTTATATATAAATAGATACTTCTTTGCTAATTCATTCACCATGAAATTCCACCTTCTTTTCCCTGTCATGTTTTCCTTGCAACTTTTTTCTCTTTTGGCTCCCTGCATTTGAAGCGCTTTGTACCTCTGGTGTCTTATCCAGGTGAGCAGAAGCTGATCCCCAGGCCCTTTGCTCTTGTCAGGGATCTCCTCGGCTATCGCGCTCTCTTGAGGCCCGGGTTCACACACTAAATTGATGTCTGCGACTGGAAATGACACTTTCAGCAGGATTTGGCATTCTAAACCACCTCACACCCATGTGATCTCACCCGTTCACTCTCAGAGGGATTGCCTTGAAATGTGCCGTATCTTCAAAAGTCATTGAGCATAGCAATGAAAAGCTGATACATACACTATAGGGGAAAAGAGACAGTGTTCTAAAATGCTGGCAATGTAAAACAGTTTTTTTCATGTCAAAAGCTTTGTGAATAAGTAGATATTGTCTATGGGGCAGCATAATGGATGACAAAAAAAATCAATAATCTCATTATTATTCTGTTTATTTTTTTTATAATCTGGGTAAGAGGTTCATGACAAAACAGTTAATAAATTCTTTATTCCACTGTATTTCCTATAGTAAATAAACAAAACTCAGGGTTGATGTTTCTCTCTGTTGTCACTGGGCCATTGGATATTGAGGAGTCTTCATAAATTAGAAAATAAGATATCCCCCCAAGCAGAACCTTGAGACAAAATCAGACAACTATCTAATCTAATTAGAAAACATTTGATCTGTTAAAATCTTATAAGAAAGAACCATATGAGTCCCTATGTGACGCTTTGGGATGAGAGTTGATTGGTTGTGCAAGGGTGGTCTATCCTGCTTCTTTCTGTCTGAAAAAGCTGTGTGAGTTGCCAAAAAAAGTAATTAATGCAAATACAATGTGCCAAAAGGCTTGTGAGAGCCAGAACAAGAAGATAGTTATACCTTTCATTTTCACTGATTGAATATCAGGAACCCCAGCTTTAAGCCTTGTATAAGTGCCACAACTTTATCAGTAGTAGTGGTCACATGCAGGTGCAGTTTACCACCAACATGATAATACGATAAAAAAACGCTTAATGTATTGTATGTATGTGTGCACAATATTTCAACATGTATGTTTGAAGAAAAAACTTGCTTAACAAATTTTCTTACTTTCTAACTTTGTTCAAACAAGGGCACAGTGACCATGTTTTTTTGCCTAAGGACAAGTTATGATATAATTTAGCGCTGGAATAGAGTAATAAGGAAGAAGGTGTGACCAAGAATACCTCCCTTGACTTATTTTCATCCCAGAGTCTTTCAGGGTCTGCAAGTTTCTCCTCAGGGGCTCTACACATGGGCATAATGGAGAAGGCCAAGGGTGTGAAAAGAGCACCTTTAGACTCCTCATTCAGCTCGCCCGTCTCGCCTGTGCGTGCTCTTGAGCTGTGAAGCCCCCTTTTATTTGCCCTGCGACGGTGGGAGCCTTGTAATAGGCTCTAATTGATAGGGAGGTGTTGGGATCTCTGTATGGGCTGTAGCAATGAGAGAGGGAGGATTACATGTGGGCATCTGAGGTGGAGTGTAGAGGATGAGGAGAGGCTGTGGAGCGGCCTCAGCCCCTGTTTGTAATGACTCATTAATTTCCTACTGGTTTTGTGGCGCTTTGCTCATTACTGGTCTGCAGAGAACATGGGGACAAAGCCTGGACTAGGTAGGAGGTGAGCTTAAGTAGTTGGGGCTCAACACATCCGAACAAAAGGTAAAGAGGACATTGAATGGCACTTGGAATAGATTCAGTAAAAAGTGGCAGATGCAAATTGCTGAATTTCTTGCAGCATATTTTTATTTTTAGACATTTTCTGCTGTTCAATGGTAAATGTAATTTGTCATAATAAAGACAGTAACTTCTTGTAATGGTATCATATATTACTCTTAATAAATAAATTTATTCCATACAGACATTTGTGCAATGTATATGCTGAACTTAGAGTACTTAGAGTTTTGTTTTTGTTTTTTTTGGCAGTTCTGCATGGAGTTTTTGAAAATGCTGTCATCCCACACTCCAGGGCATGGATCATGTCAATGGTCATCATTGGAGCCAATCACAATCTTGCATTGACAGGTACAGTCCATTGTTTGGTAGCAAAAGTTTTGGATTTTGGTCTTATATCAAAATTCAATTTACTATGTTTTAAATGGATTATTAATCATATGACTAGATGCAGTCATTAAAAATAATACACACCCAGTATTAAGTGTCATGTGTTCTTGAAAGTGCAGCCATTTTGTTCATTTTTATCTGAGGCTCCGATCTCTGATTCCCCGTTTGCACATAATCTAAAAGAGAGAAGAGCAGGAGAGTGAGAGAGGATACGGCCCTGGCTCCTGATCCATAGCAGTCATTGCCTGTTACATACATTTCAGAATTCATTCAGGCTATGAAGATAATCGAGGTAGTAGACAGTTTCCCCTGCAGCCCAATGGATTTATGATAGCACTGTCAAGAAAATGAGGCGAAATGACACAGTAGCTGACTTTAGCTGCAAATAATGTGATAGGCCGTACAGTGGTGCAGCAGCAGCTGCTGTCATTGCAGGTAATAGGCTATAAAGAAGCCTGATAGCAATACCTGTCATTTCTTAATGGCTGACTTCACTGAAGAGCTTTTGTGGCCTTTAACATGAAGATAATAGAAGATACAACAAATTTTACAGCTTTTGCATTGCATCCATAATTTATAACCACGGGCCTCATGCAGCAGCCACACAACAAGGACAACATGCTGCTCGAGGTATGCTAAGGAGAGATGCAGATGAGCTGCAGGGCGAGAGGGGCTGGCCCTTTATTCAAAGGAATTAATGGAGGGAAACACTTCCAGACACTATCCACTGTCTAAGAGTAAATTCCTAGGACTATAACATCTGAAAATAAGCAGTTTGAGACAAAGTACAAAAATACACACAAAAGACAAAATCTGTAATTCATAAAATGTATTTTACCAAATGTAATCTTTTGCTTTTGGAAACAGATGGTAAATGACAAAAGAGACATCATGTGTCCAGAAATCATTGCAAACCCTCAAGCGAAGGACATGGCTGAAGGAGTCTGGTATACTTCTCACTGGTAAGTCATCTACCTCTTCACATCCCTGTGTAAGACCCTGTCTGTTTATATAGTTACACAGCCATAAAACGTGTGAATGTACACCGGCTCATATGCAAAATGTAAACATAAAGGCAATCGTTGGTGTGTCTAGACACTTCCACAGATGTGGTGTTTGCACTTAGCCTGAGTTGTAGTATCGGTCTATACACATCATTCATTAAGAACTCTCCCTGGGCTAGTGCAGCTACATAAACAGAGAGGTTGAGGCCATGGCTGCTCTTTCACCTCACAGCGGTGAACTTCAAAGTCACTCCTTTTCGCTGGCCAGATGAATGATTCTTGTCCTCCAGGCTGATATATGGGCCCCAGTTGCTGCTTTTCGTACTGTAGAATGACTGCGACTGAGGCCCCGTCATGGAGCCAGAGTTGGACTATTTGTTCGTTTCAACTTTATCTGTAGGACTAGGCCTTACCTATAAAGGAGGACATCAATCCTTTTATTACAACCCTAGGGGAACCATGTCTCTGTGTTGTAAATGCTGTCTATAATTACCACTTTAAAATGTGTAATGGAACTCATGTCAGGCTTGTAAGTGAATAATTTGCTGCTGCAGTATCTTTTCCAAAAAATTTGAACAAAGCAAGAAATATCAACTTGAGTGGCAAGTATAAATAACCTGGTCACTGGCATACAGCTGACCTCACAATGTGCTAAAATAAAGTTAATAAAGATGGTTTGATGTCATTTCATGGATTTACGTTAGTATTTCTTGGTAGTATCTAGTATCTCTTGATAGCATCTGGACATTTAGAATCACCTGATTCTGGACTGCATGGTGCCAAAACTAAATTTTGTCCTCAATTGCCAAACTAATATTTAATTAACAATTTCTTAAATCTTAGTTGACCTCAAACTGAAACCACAAAGGCTGGGCACTCACAAGAACTTTCTCCAAGGCCTATTTCTCTAGCAATTTTGGTAATATTCCCAGTTTGATCTCCCGCTTTATTCTGCCATGAGGGAACAGAAATATCCATCTCCAATCAGGTCTTAATGAATAGCTTGATGAGTGTTGGGAAGAAACGAATTAGCACATAGATTTGAGTGTATGTGTGTGTGCATGTGTGAGATTGTTGCGGGGGTCAGTAGACAGGACAGGAATTAAATGAGTACTTTTGTGTCGCACATGCCTCATCCGTGTAAGGTTTCACTTATTAGGATCAGGCCACAATGAGGTGCACATGAGCGAAAAGTTTGATTGTTGAGAACTGAAAGGCAAAAAAAAAAAAAAAAAAGAAAAGAGAGACAGAGAGAGAGAGAGAGAGAGAGAGAGAGAGAGAGAGAGAGAGAGAGGAGGGAGAAGAGGGGGCTGACAAAATAATTGGAAGATTGGGCAAAAAGCAAAAAAAAAAGCAAAAAAAAGCCACTGGTATGAGAGACAGCTTGCCTGGGCCGGAGCATATTGAGGGCAGCAGGTGGAAGAGTGGCACAGTTAATTAAAACGCCTGTCTTAATGTCTCAGCCCGTCACTCGGGGGAGAGAGAGCAGCACCAAGAAAAAAGGGGAAGTGAGAGAGTTGCCAGGCTCGAGCTGGGCTGCACCCAACCAGCCATCCAGCCAGGCCACCACGCCACATGTCAGACAAGCCCTGACACCATGGCCTCATCCCCCGCTCTCCCCTTCCTCCTTTTAGACACAAACAACCACACAGGCTCAAACATGTGATATTTTCTGCCATAGTTACCTAGTCAAGCTTGTTTCCTCCTGTACAAATATGAACAAAACAGACTTGTGATGTTGCCATTTTGCTCAGCAGCATCTGTAGCATGCCTCTAGACTTCCAGCCTTGCAGCGTAATCTGTTGGCTTTTAATAATTCATTGAAAGCACTGGCTGCATGCTATGTACTGAATGCTGAGAGTAATAGGGATGTTGTGATATTTCTATCATGGCTTGTCTGAAACATCAAGTAAATCAAAGGATCTGATAAGCAGTCTGCTCGCTGTTGTTACAGCATCAGCTGTCATCACTGCCTTAGGTGGACATTGACAAATTCATTCTGCCCTGTCGGCTATGGTCTGGTAAATGATGACACCTTATTGGCACAATTTTCAAATCTAGTGAAATCAGTCATGACACAGCCAAAGAACCATGGATGTGCATGCTCAGTGAAAACCTGGACAGGATTACATATGAAAAGCCTGCATACTAGACATGGACATCTGCTTTTTGTGCTGACCGGTTGGTGTAGATGGCTAGAGTGGTTCTAACAAAGCAGAACTGTTATATAAGCTTTGAAAGACATGTTTGAACATGGAAAATATGGTTTCCAGGACAACAACAAAATGTAAATCGCACACAACCTTCCCCACATGTCCTCTATTCTACATTGTGCGAAGTGTCTAATGTTTGATCGTGCCCTGGTCCATCACTGTGGATTGCTTTGTCAATAAGCAGCCTTGTGCCTCACTGAGCAAGTTACCAGGATTGTGGGCTTGAGTGACAGCCTGGAGATGGCAGATAATTCAAAGAAATTGGAAGTGTGAAATCTTTAAGGGCCACTTCTTAACACAGCAAATGCCAGGGTATCTTTCCATCAACTGCTACTCTCACAAGCCACCCCATTGTTAATGGCGGCTTGTCTGTCCATCAAGACTGCTTCAGGAGGGATTTAGACCTGTTGCCTCCTTATCTCCCAGGTCCCCTCCAACTAACCTCAACACTTGGAGATGTGTGGGCTTGGCAAGGGTCAGAAATTAGTACATACTCCTTAATATGAAGTATCTTTACTTTACTATACATGTTTGGTTTGGCAAGTTTTCCCCAGTTCAGGATACCTCTGAATGACTTAATACTGTTGAGAGATGTTATGAAGATTTGCCTTTAAACCTTGGATCCTTATTTATTATTATTTATTTACTGCTCAAGAAAGAAAAAATACTTCACAAAACTTGGGTATTTAAGGCAAAGGTTTCCATTGTAATATATTTGTATCAGGGATATTGTATTGTCAGTGTCTATTTTTCACACAAATACTCTAAATAGTAAAGATACTGTGGAGGAATGATGTTTAGGAACATGTGTTGATAAAAAAAAAAAAAAAAAAAAAACTAGACGCCGTCCTGTATTTGTATGTTCAATGATATAACAAGAGAAAATAGACAAGAGGAAGGAGAGAGGAACTGTAGAGAAGGAAAGAAAAGAAATAAACAATGGGAAAAAGAAGAAATATATCCCCCATTTTCCCTTGTAATAGTTTCAATTCCACACCATAGCTCCCTGTCACAGAGAGGTGGTTCCCAGGCCGACACATCTCAAGCTGTTCAAACATCCATTAGGATGTTTTGTTACACACATATTACAAATACAGCGAGATGGGAGAGAAGCGGGTAGATGACGAGAGGGGAAATTGAGAAAAGAAGGAAAAGAAGGCGAGGGAGGAGGAAGCTGATGTGAGCAGCAGAGAGAAGAAGAAATTTATCAAGAAAGTCGTGTGATATTTAATGATCCTTGTATGTGCAGAGGAAAGACCACACCAGCCCGTTCTCCTCCGCCAAATACCGATCCCCTAACTTAATTTCCTGCTCAATTGCTGTTCTATAGTGCATAGTACACTGATACAGGCTGGTAATATAGAAAACAGATTGCCTGTGCGGCAGAGTGGATAAGGCTCAGGCTTGTGCTGCTGGAGACCTGCTGTCTCCAGGGGGGTCTTGTCGGTGGGCTTCACAAAACCAACAAAGCCCATCTTTCTGTGCGACTGGCAGCAGCTGGCAGGTAGATCTTCAAGCGCTGAAGGTGGGGAGGTGGATCTGCAGTACAGCAGAGCTGTGTGTGTATGGGCCGCACACAGTCCTGCTATCCTCTTTGTAGTGTAAGTCTGCCACAGTCCTCCATCTTCTGTTTGCTCATGTGTAAGTACTCCAGTCTCCTCAAAAATGTAGGCCTGCATAGACAGCAACCATCAATCACTGCACAGAGGAGTGTAACTAAAGCTGCAGTGTTTTCCCAGGGACACACTCAGAGATATGCATATACATGCAACCAGTACCTCCCTGCTCGAACGTGGAGAAATCTGTCTTATTAGTTTGCTTATTATTCCCTTATTTATTTGGAATTCTTTTTATAGTACAACTTTTGTCATCCAGTGTGGCTATATATTTATTATGACCAGTTCAAAGCCACTGTAAGATATTAGTCACTTGTGCTTTGGGAATAATGGTTGAAGCATATGCAGTGTTAAGGTGCAGCTGCTTGACACTAAGTAGGCCAGTGCAGCCTCACCATGTCTACCTGTATACACACTCTCTTCCACTTCTCTAACTTATTTCATTCAGCAAGTGTCACTAACCTAGTTGCATTTGGCTTTACACTAATGTTGGTGATGTGAACCGCCTCTGACCTCTCAAAGTGACAGAGTTCTCTTGCATAACAACCTTGTGTTATGAACTTCCTCCCCGGAGATGTCATTAAGAACGGGAGTGTTTGTCTTCCGCTTGTACAAAAATGAATATTCAGCTATTATCGCTATGCAGCACTTAGATCTGATATGTGTATTGGGTTTTTGCTTGTAGGGAGATGAATTCATTCTAGGCTTTATTTACTGTGTCAGTCTGATCAGCAATGTCTCGTTTTCCCATGTTTTCTACATGCTCCTCAGGTCAATTGACTGCACATATTTTAGATTTTCCCTAAACCAGATTTCTCGTTTGTTTTCATTCATGTCTTATTGTAGGACTACTACACTGCTAAAGATTTGTAATAACACAGCTCAGGTTTCTGCAGGGTGACCATGCCAAGAACCACAGAGGAATGGACAGACCTGTTAGGAGACATAGAGCAATTTTTTCTTTTTTTTTTTCTTTAGAAATGAACCAACTTGGACTGCTTATCAGTTGTTTCAGCAGGCTATGCTTGTGGTCTACCCTTGTGTTTGGCTAAGCACGCATTTCACCTGTAGTCATTTGTATTTTTTTATTTAGAAATATATTGACCAAAGTAGCTCCATTATTTTAGGA